TTATGAATAAGCACTTGAGGAGACATATCTCGACTTCAATGGGTAGCACAACCTCCATACCATACACTAATGAGTATGGGGTCATGCTAGTAGGAGTCTTCTCAGTTGTTTGGTAGGCTCATAGCGTGTCGTTTAGCTTTTCGTACCAATCTTTACCACCTTCTATTATTCTGTTTATAATTCTAAAATGTCCTTTGTTTGTGGCCTCTGCTTGTCCATTTCCTTGAGGGTAGTAGGGTGTGGAGATTTTCTGTGTTATCGCAAACTTTTTGCACGCCTTAGTGACCCTTTCATTTTTGAAGTTGGTTTCATTGTCAGTAATGATTGATTCCAGAATGTCAAATCTGAATACAATGTTGTTCTTGATGAAACGGGCAACATACTGACCTTCAATTTTAACAAATGATGCGGCTTCTACTAATTTTGTGAAGTATTCATTAGCTGTTAGTATGTAATGGTGGTCATTTGAGGCTTTTGGTGAAATCACTCTGAGGATATCAAGACCCCACATGGCAAAAGGCCATACAAGTGGTGTTGAGTTAAGTGGTACTGACGGTGCATGGATGAGGTCTCCATAAATCTGACATATGGGACACCTTTTAACGAATTTCAAACAATCTTCAGCCATGGTGGTCCAATAATAACCTTGACGCTTGATTTTTTGGGCTCAAGCAGCTGCCCCAGAATGACCTCCTTCATTGTGCAATTCTGCTTATACTTGGTCAATTTCTAGATGGTCGAGGCACCACAAGATGATGTTGTCAAAGGATTTCTGAAACAGAACGTCATCTCTTATTAGGAAACCCATAAAAAACCTTTGAAGGGCTTTCTTATCCTTTTTGGTGGCTTCATCGGGGTATGACTCTTCTTTCAACAGGGACAGCACATCGTGGAACCATGGTTTCGCTTTGACTAGCGCATCTGAGGTCACGAAAGACACTTCCTCCTCGTTTTCATTTTCTTGCTCTATTTATTTTTCTATCCTTGGGGCGGAAGGTTCATGCTTGTGCCTGATGTAAAATGGCAATGTGGTGACTTCTAAAAGAATGTCGACCATCGAAGCAAGGGTTGCAAGGGTGTTGACGAATCGATTGTTTTCCCTAATTACATGCTGGAAGGTGATCTGCTTAAAATATGTTATCGTCTTTTCCACCTTTTCTTGATAGGGATTGAGCTTTTCTTCTTCAACCTTATAAATCCCTTGAACTTGGTTTAGGATGAGCAAGGAGTCACCAATGACTCGTATTTGTTGGATCTTCAGTTCTATGGCATTCTCGAGTCGGCCTAGCAAGGCTTCATATTCAGCAATGTTATTGGTACAAGGGAAATTCAGTCTAATGCTTGTTGGCATTAAAATCTTCTTGGGTGACCATAGTATAACCCCTATACTTGACCCATATTCATTTCTTGCACCGTCGAAGTATAGCTTTCAATTTAGTCCTCAATTGTGAAGAGGTTCTCGTCAAGGAGATTCGTGTTAATGGGAGTGTTATCTAGCAGTGTGTGTTCAACTAAGTAGTCAGCAATGGTTGTCCTTTGACTGATTTTTGAATGACATATTTGATCTCAAACTCACTCAATATCATTCTCCATTTTGCCAAACATCCGTTAAGGACTAGTCTCTCCAATAGGTACTTGAGTGGGTCTATTTTTGAGATGAGCTTGACTGTATGAGATAAGACATAGTGTTTTAATTTTTTCATAGCCCACACAAGCGTTAAGCAATGCTTCTCCATGTTCGTGTATCTCGTCTTATAGTTGACCATGGTTTTGCTGATGTAATACATGGTTTGTTCTTTTCATGGTCATCGTATTGTCCTAACATTGCCCCTATGGTCTTGTCTTTCACAAATATGTATAGGAATATGGGATTGTCTGGATTAGGAGGACTAAGAAAGGGACTTTTGGTTAGGCACTCCTTGATTTGGTCAAACGCTTCTTGGCATTCATTGTCCCATATGAATGACATATCTTTCTTGAGGAGCCAATTGAAGGGTGCACACTTGTCTACCAGTTGTGAGATAATATGCCTTATGGCTTGTATGTGACCTTGAAGCCCACATATTTCTCTGATGTTCTGGGAAGGGGGCATTTCGGTGATGGCCCATATTTTCGACGGGTCCACCTCAATACCCTTTTGGGTTACTATAAATCCTAGTAATTTGCCGGATTCAACTCCAAACACACATTTTTGTGGATTGAGTTTGAGTTGATGTTTCTGGAATCTTTCGAAAATGGCTCTCAGGTTAGTTAGTTGATTGGACCTGGCCTTTGACTTGACCAAGATGTCATCGATGTAGTCTTCTATGATGATATGCATTAAGTCGTGGAAGATGCTAGTCATTGCCTATTGATAAGTTGCCCCTACATTTTTTAGGCCAAAGGGCATGACACAGTAGCATTAGTTCCCCAGTGCATTATGAGCGATGTTTTCGTCTGGTCTTCTTCTGCCATGAGGATCTAGTTGTAATCCGAGAAACCGTCCATGAATGGCAATATCTCCTGCCCCGCAGTGTTGTCGACCATGGCATCTATGTTTGGTAATGGGAAATTGTCTTTGAAACATGCCTTGTTGAGGTCTCTGTAGTCGACACACACTCAGATCCTCGCATCTTTCTTGGGTACGACTACTATGTTGACCAACCATTCTGAGTAAATCGACAGGGGTAATGAATTTTGCCTTGAGCAATTTATTGATTTCTTCTTTGATTTTGAGCTCAAGGTGGGTCTTTTGAAGACGGAGTTTCTGCCTTATTGGCATTGCCCCTTCGTTGAATATTAGGTAATGTTGTACCAATGTGGAATCTAACCCTGATATATCATCGTTTGACCAGGCGAAGACATCACGATATTCCTTGAGAAAGGAAATCATGTTTTTCGACACCTCAGGAGATAAGGAGGCTCCAATCTTGGTTAACCTTGGGTCATTCTCGGTGCCTAGGTTGATGTTGATTCTCATATTGAGCAGTTATGAATCAGAGTATAGCATTACCTGAGCCTCAGCTACCGGTCTAGGTTTCCATTCCCACCGATGCATTAGAAAACCTATAATTATTTCTAAAACACCTAGGGGCATGTGTTGTCCACTGTTCCACCCAAAAAAAAACAAATCATCTATATAAATTAAGCAGAGATAGTTATTAGCATATACCAGTGAGAGATTGGCTTGACTATTAAGTTGAACTTTAAACAAAACTAAAGGAATTTGGTTTGCTTAATCTTTGATGCTCTAGCACTTGGGCTCCGACAACAGGAGAAGCTGGCCTTGCCATAAGATGAATCTCAAACAAAAGTAATGAGGAATTTGGAAATGGAGTGGGAATTTGGTTTGGCTTTAATCTTTGATGCTCTAGCACCTGGGCTCTGGCAACAGGAGAAGCTGGCCTTGCCATACCCAAAATTCTTGCACCAGTCAAAAGAGTAATCAGGAGAGAACATTTTTATGCACAATAATCAATAAAATTGGTATACAATAAATGGATCAACTGTCATAATTACGAGTCCATAACAAAGGAAAAAACCATGAGGTATACATGTAATAAAAAGAATGAATTCTCATTTGATGTTAAAGCCCATGTCACAAGTCCATAGCCATGTAAATTATATGAGTTAGTTATTCAAGCCCATGTCAGAAGTCCATAGGGATGTAAATCATAAGAGATGGTTTAAGAATTCCATCGATCTGTATCAATGTTAAAAGACTGAGCTCGGGATCAGGACTTAGCCCCTGGCCGAGCCAAGTAACTCTCATGAGTTCAATTGGACTCATCAAAATCATGCAGGAGCCCATAAACAACTTAAATTACCCAAAAATACAACAAAAAAGTTAAAAATAATTAAAAACCAGTAAAAAGCAGAAGTTATAAACATCATTAAAATTCTCTAAAAGACTAAAAAAACAAAAAGGTATACAGAAAGGAGGATTATGAAAACTAAAATAAAATATTATAGCAAGAAATAAGTCAGAAAAAAAAAAAAAGGGAAACAGAAAATTAAGGCATATAAATTTAAAACCCAATGTCTTGCCCCTAATTTGTTGGTTTTAAGACTACAATACGATTAATGAGCTTACAGACAAAAAATAAATGATTATAGTTTCCATCTCTTTTGCTGCAAAACCCAAATAAATCTACGATGACTTTTTACTCTAGAGAATTATAAGCCCATGACCGAATAGCTACCACAAAATTACCAATGCGTAACTATATTGGATTATTTGACACCATCAACCAGCTACTATTCTCTTCCATTAGAAAGAATGTATTCTTTGAGTATTGTTTAGTAAAGTAGCAAGTCAAAGCAAACAAACAAAAACTATGCAAAAATGAGAACAATTTTTGGAAAATGCAGGCTTTGAGAATCATTCACGTTTGTATGCTCATAAAAAAGCAAAAGGTACATCCATGGGCTAAGACTGAAAAAGGAGTACCATTTTTCTCCTTCATCACAAGGGTTACTCTTTTCTTTATTTTTTAAACACATCTATGTGCAATATTTAGCAAGTAAAACAAACCAACAAGTGAAGGACAAGCAAAAAGCGAAATAAGCAAAAAGGCCAAATTATGCCACGAAATTTAGAGAACTTTTTATAGGGAGAAAGCGTCTATTCTTCTACGGATGAGAAAACAGACCAGAAAAAAATTGCATAGGGATCTTATATATCGATTTCTAAAGAATTGATATCACATGTGGGATGTGCACATTAATCCCACTGAGAAAAAAAGATGTACACATTAATCCCACTGCCAACAAAAAGAAAGAATTGATATCAAATGAGGGATGTGCACATTAATCCCACTGCACAAAAAAAAACAAAAAGAAAAAAACAAACTCACAAGAATCAATCAGAACATTTATTTGAAAAAATAAACTATAAAAAGAATTCAGGTTTGTAATCCAAGAAACAGAACTAGATTGATGGATTAGCTACAAAACAATGAATAGCCCCTATTTAGAAGGAGAAAGTTCATTGAATACAGGGGAGTACCATTGATGCTGAGGAGCGACCAGAGGATGCTTTCTACAAATCTTCGTAAACCCTTTCCCCGTCTCTACAAATCTTCAAAAACATTTTTCCCAACTCCAGGTAACCGAACATGACTCTATAAATCTTCAAAAAAAAATTTCCCAACTCCAGGTAACCGAACATGAACAGTGGGGATGTGTTCCACTTTGAAACGGTCTTCACCTGAATCTCTCTTTAATCGGCTCACAAATTCATCTCCCATATCCCAAAGTAACAACTCTTGAAGGGTAGAGAGGTATTGGAAGCCTGGAGGCAACCCTCTCAATTTCTTACATCCCCAAATAGATAATTTATGGAGGCATGCCATGGCTCCCTCCTCCACTTCTCCCCATTCTTCCCATTCTTTCAAACGAATGAAATAAGGTTTTTGAAGTTTAGGGAAGGCAGCAGCATCACATTTACCCATACGCTTGCCCATGTAAGACTCGGGGCCTAGATGGAGGAACATGAGATTGGGCAGCCTTTGAAGGACAACAAATGGGTCCGGGGTGAGGTGGGCTTTGTATAAGACTAGTTCAGAGAGGCATGGGAGATATTCAACCCCAACCCAATTAGGCAGCTTCCCACTTGGTAGACAACAATCGAGTTCTAACCTTTCAAGAGTAGTCGGAGGCTTCAATGGGTAGAGGATTCCCATCTATAAAATCCGTCTGCAACCCAAAGCCTAATCAATTTGGAACGAGTAATCTCATAGTCCTATGGGTACAAACAACAATACAAGAAACAATATTTTAAAAAATGTGATAAATCCCTGTAACTTAACGTCAGGATACGCCTCACACCTTTATGCTTGTCCAGTTCAAATGCAAGACTGTGGTGAACCTTGTCCCAATCGTGAAATGTTTTGGCTTTTTTGAACATCATACTTCCAATGGCCACAATTGCAAGGGGGAGACCCTCGCATTCCTTAACAATGAGCCTCCTGACTTCCTTCAATTCTGAAGGACATGAGTTACCATTTCCCTCCCAAAATGCCTTCTTACAGAAGAGTAGCCATGCATCTTCTGCTGTTAGTTGTTCTAGCCCGTAGACTTTGCTCAATACATATATTGGTGAAGTGACTTCTGCCATACGAGTTGTAACGATGAATTTACTTCCGTTATGTAAATCAGGAAATACAGTGTGAACCTCTTCCCACACATCCTCCTGCCACACAACATCTAACACCACAAGATACCTATTGTCTTGTAAATGTGCACAAAGCTTTTTTTCGCAAACAGCGTATGTCATATTCATCCTCATGATTTTCATCAAATTCTCTTAGAATGGCATTAAAAATCTCTATTTTGTTGAATGATTGTGAGACAGTAACCCATGCACGAAGAACAAAATGTTCCTTAACAGGGCCATCATCGTAAATTTTTTTGGCAAGAATAGTTTTCCCTAATCCACCCATACCTAAGATAGAGATTACCTTGAGTTGTTGCTCACCGTCTAGCAACCATCCTTCTACTATCATCAATTCCGACAAGGTCTGCTTTCTCAACTACCGAAGAAATCCCTCTTGTATATGCCCCTCTTGTTGCCATAGCATTTGAAGAGCTCCCTTCTTTTTCTTCTTCTCCCATTTGAAGATTGAGCCTGTCCCTTCTCTTGGCAATGGCATCGACACGATCTTTAATACTCTTTATCTTTGTTGCGACCTTATGCTTGATTGCTTGTTCCTTTGTATAGGAAACAGGTGAGAGCAGAATGCCGGCAAATCCTTTCCTCCTCTTCGCATACTTGCAATTTAGAGGATGAATTTGTAAGGATATCCTCAGCATCGTAGGCCACATCTCGCACTTGTCCAACCCAAACATCCACCATTTGATCTGTCTCTCTTTTTTTATTAGCATTATTCAGGAACACTTTTATGCCTTTGAGCTCATCCTTAATCCACTGAATATCATCTTCCAATCCTGAAAGGAGTTACACTTCATCTACCAGCAATTTGTCTAGTTTTGCTAGCAAAAATGATACAATAGTACCATCTCCGGAAGAGCTTTCCTTTTAAGTAGTATGCAAAAACATTCAAATGCTGAATCTCACGGCCTATTTTACCAACCGCAGAGCCAACTTCTAATGAACATCGATGATCACAGTGAAAAATTTTTGGCCAGGTAAAGTAGGAAGGAGTGATGCTTTTTCCATGACTTGGGTTACTTTTCCAACTGTGATTCCTTGTATTTGCTTTGCCTTGCTTACTAACAGTGTTTCTGGATAAATACTCAACAATGTGTATGGTATGCTCCCTAGGGAGCATACTGTACATTAACTCTCTAGCAAAGAGACATTTTGGAGGATATTTTACTTATTTTGAGTTTTAGGGATCCAATTAAAAATAACTAGATGATTAGTTTGAAATAAAAAAAGAGAAAAGAATTGGGGTCATTCGACACCTAGATCTTGTCCTTTCAAAACTGGATATCCCTTACTCAATCATGGGATGCTATTTGTTTGAAGCTTTCAAAACATAAGATTCTTTTTAATGTTTTTTTAATGTTGATGACTATTACCTCCCAAAATTTGGATGCTTAAATACTATTCCTAGCTTGAGATTCATCCAATGGAGCAAATGGATAGTCTTCTCCTGTGGTAGCAACATTCTTTTGACAAAATACGAAATGCTAAGCTTCGTACTTATTTTCGTTTCGCCTCAAAATCGACTGCTTGATAGGATTGGAAATATTTGGATTAATTTGGAGACTTGAAGCTCTATTTTCTCATGAACTAGTTGGCTGTAGGATCCACGTAAATATTTGGATTAATTTGGAGACTTGAAGCTCTATTTTCTCATGAACTAGTTGGCTGTAGGATCCACGTAAAAAAGTAGCTGTTGGATAGGCTGCCCATAGTCAAAAGTATTAAATGCTTATGGCCCACATTAAATAATGCAATGCACCATATACATTCAAGGGAAACGTTTTAATAAGGTTGCAACATTAAAGTGTAGAATCACATATGCACATCAAAAATCTATGGGAAATTTTGTTTTAATGTTGAAAAGACCCTCTAATCGATCATCTCGACATTGAGATATATGATTATGAAAAAAAAAAAGTTTTTGAGTCTAAAAAATAGTGCATCTTGCAACACATTATCTAGACCGTTTATTTTCAAGATTTTCATATATTTATAGATCTATATGATTTTAGCCATATTTGGATTTTAAAATTTTCTAATTAGGTATGAAAATAGATTTTAAAATAATACTAAGAATTTTTTACAACAAAATTACATGGTATGATAAAATTTTAAGGTGCGCCTTAATTGGATTGTTTAAGGTTGCAACCGTATAGAAACTGCACCCTACATTCAATAGAGGGCACTTTAATAATTACTCCCTCTGGTGAGAGAGAAAGACAAAAAATTTTCAAACTGTATATGCAATGCACCATATACATGAAAACTTTCAATGTTTAGGACCTACCTCAAATAATGCTATTACCTATGGCCCACCTCAAATAATGCATGAACTCCTCGTTTAACCACTTACAGATAGGATATCATTGGATGAGAATGTATACTATGTTGGATTTATGTCGCCTTTAAGGCTTTATGATTGCTTGTAAAATGAAATGATATAGTGGAATATGAATTCAATGGGAGTGTGGTCTCTCGTGGACCACACTAAACAAACGACGTTTGCTGATATCGAACTGTGCTTGACGGTCTAGGTCAATCGATTGGGAAAAACCCATGTTACTTGGGCATAGAATGAAAATCAATTAGAGTTCTAATAGGTCATCCCTTGATAAGGTCGGAGTATGCCCCGACGAGTGAGCCGAGGGACTGTGTGACCCTTTTGTGTGATAGTGGCCTAAAGAAACGAGGCCCAAAGCCTAATCCATGTATCATCACACGGCATGCATATTGATAGACCATTTTAGGAAAGCAATCCACTTTTTAAGGTGAAGTGTATGTATGTGCGAGAGATACCCCAATGTGCCATATGAGCTGTGGTCACATCAAGTCTAGGTCACCTTGGCCTGTCTTTAGGGGAGGACCTAAAATCTACAGATTGAGATTGCAACCCTTTGGCTCATCTGCTGAACTTTGGTGACCCACTAATGAGCCCCTCCTTGGACTGTGGGTCATGGGAAACACTGGGTCGGTCTGATAAAGTAAGTGTGATCTGTAGTCCACAGTTGAAGGTGGAGTGCCCCCATGATTGTTGATTCTTGAGCCATATGGATCATTTTCTCATCATATTAGTTTAATTATATTTGTTTTATGATAAATATTATTTTAGAATTATTATTTGAATTTTTATAAATCTTTGGATATTTTATTTATAAAATTTGAGCTTATGAAAATAAAGATATTGATTTTATATTGCTTAAAATATTCAAATAATATTCTAAAATTATTCTATATTTTTATATATATAAGAATTTCATTGGGGTCCATTGTGCACATAGGCCCACCATGTTGTTGGAGGTGTGGCCAAAAAGCCCCCTCCAGGGTGGCACGTCCCACCCCTTTATTCTCTTCCCTAATTTTATGGGGTATGATAAGTGGTCATATGGTTGGAGTATATTAACTAAATATTAACTAGATATTGACTTGATATATTTTGAAAGATTTTGTGGAAAGTATGAGAAGGCTTGTGCTATTTTATGGTATGCACAATATTTTGATTGGATTTAATTTATTTAATTTTTATTAATGGAAAAATGGTCTAAAAAATGAGGATAATGGTTTATACACCTTCTATAATGTTGATGGCTCATCTATGGAATGGATGCATCGGATCTCTCATCCCACAAGTCACCATTGATCGACGGTCCATGTTCAATCTCACTTAAGAGGCAAACTATGAGAAATCATAGTCCTAATTTTTTTCTATGAATAGAGGACCTCCCCTCCTCTATTCTCCACACCAATATGTCTTCTCTCTCTCTAAGCTCTTTCTCCCTCTAAGGGGCATGCCCCACTCTATCTCCTCTCTATAGGTTTCTCTTTCTAGCCACTTCTCTCTCCTAACCCATAGAGGGGGCACATCCCAACCCTAGGATATTTCTCATTCTCTCTCATCTTGATTAAACCTAAGGGTTGGGTAATAGAGGGTATGTTCAACTAGGTCTTTGAGAGTTTGGACCTAGGTTCAAAGATTTGTGATCAAAAGGGGAAATTTATAGTTCCATGGAAAAGTTTGGCCTAAAATTGCTTTCCCGGTTGGGATTGAAGCTAGATCGTTGGTCCCGCCCCATCGGATGGTAGTGACTCGGTGTGGGGTGTAATAAGGCTGGTTGAGGTAATCTCCGACACTCTCCATTTTATTTACAATTTAATCTTTATATTCTCAAACATAAGAAGTAGCGTCAAGGTTTTTAAGATCTTGGATTTGTTAGTTTTATTTTATGTGTGAAGCAAAAGTTGTTGTAGTAAATAATATTTGTTGTGATCTTTGTCTAAAGAAAAAGAAAAAGAAAAGAAAAGGGAAAGGGGTAAAAAGAAGACAATAAAATATGCATTCCCAACAAGATCACATTAGTTTTTCTTTCATACCATGCTCTCAAGGGACCATATTGTATTATTTCATATGTTAAAATAGATATTTGGGAAAAGTTTATGGACAGCCGAGGCTCTAAATAATCAAATTAGAGCCCACCACAAAACTTTCACTAGAAGAGGTTGTTTTGATGCCCAAATATCCTCAAAATGATCATCTCGGCATCAAGATGCATGGACATGAGAAAAAAATGGATTTCAAGTTTTGGAAATATTGTATTTTGCAATGT